AAAAATTCGATTTGTGCCACGTATCAAGTGAATTAAGATTTGGTGGTTATTTTATTTGTATTAATTGAAGTTTTAACATTATTAAATGTTTTTATAATTGAATATTAAAAAAATAAACTTATTTTATTTCTAAAAATTCTTATAAAATTTTTAGTGAAAAGTTTTCTTAATAATTTTTAAAAGAAAAAGAATTAAATTTTATTCACTTAAAGGAGTACCCACCTTTTTTGTTTATCTATATTAGTATCTTTTTAAATACCATAATATTTTCAATAGGTAAAAATTTTTTTAAAAGTTAAGTTGCTTTTTTAAAAATCTTCAAGAATATTAAATTATTTTCTAACAAAATCAATCTTTATAAAATTAAAATAAATAAAAATTCTAAACTTATAAAGTTATTTGAAATTTTTTACTGTAATAACAGCATCATGAATGGCTTAATATATTTGTTTCTTTTTACCTAAAAATTACGCAAATAGTATAAATTAAAATAACATTTAAAATACAACTAACAACTAGTATTTCAATAAAAACTACAAAAATAATAATATCAGAAATAATATTCACAATGAGAGATGTAACACAATCAAATTAAACATTCGGTTTAAGAGCTTATTATTAAATTATTAAAATCAGATATACTATTTTCTATTTATTTAAAAAAATATTATAAAATTATAATATCAACAATGAAATAAGAATTTAACTTTTATAGAAAATATCTAAAATTATAAAAAAATAACTCATAAAAAACAAAGAAGTTGTTTTTACTTAAAACTAAGTATAAATTCTTTAACAATAAGTTTAAATATAAAATATTTAAGTCTTAAAATTGACTTTGATACAAATTGAATCTTTAAAGATTGATAATTAGTTTTTTTAACTGGTTATCAATCTTTGTTATCAAATATGAAATTAAATTATTTAAAGTAAATTATAAAGAATTAATAAATAATAAACTTTTTGGAAATCTGATTATATAAAACTAGATTGTAGTATAAATATAAATTAACTTTATTCTGAGTTATTTAATTAATTAGATAAATATTTAAATTAAATACAAAGTTTTAAAAAATAAACTACTTAAGAATTGAACAAATAAAAATGAATTGTTTTTTATATAAACCAGTTCATAATCTGACACTTTAATTAATATTTCATAAGATTTTTAATTTAATTATTTAAATTGTAAAGAGAAAACTTTAAAAATAATATCATTTTCTTTAAATCAGAGTTTATTTTGTTATAGTTTCTTAAATTTAAAATTAAAAAATTTATAATATTAATTGTAATGTGATATCCTTGATATTTCGAAATGGTAGAGAATATATGAACAAATTTATTATAATTTATATATTCATTGAGTCATATTTTTACATTAATTATTATTATCTTTCTGTTATTATCAATTTTCACTGGTAAAAATTTCCTATAAAATTAGACTATTTTATTTGTAAGTAACTTTAAATGTAAACAGTACTAATTATTAAGTAAAAATTTGTTCGTAAAAGTAATATTGTCATGAAAATCAAAATAAATAGTTAATCAAAATTTTTATTAATATTTTAAAAAATAAAGAATATCGAATGTTTTTCTATATCAAAATAAATTGAAGAATTTATATAGTTTATTATTTAATAAATTATATGATAAAAAAACACTTGAAAGTCATAAAAATTCTTGTTTATTGTTTTTAATCCTTGCCTTGTCTATCTTTAACATCTTTAAAATCTTTTAAACTATCACTTTGTTTAAACATAATTTATTTACTTAAATTTGCTTTTATACTTATTCTAAAACAATGTTTCATTTTTTGTTTCATTTACCATAACAATCCTTTTAGTTTAAAAAATAAATTTTATCATATTAATTTATAAAATACAAGTTTAATAATTTGTTTCTTAAACCAACAAACTGTATAATCAATATAAATTATCTTGAAAATACAATTCATAATGATAAACCGATATTTAAAAAAGATTACACTAATAAAAAGTATAATTATAGAAATAATAGAGAATAAAATATACTATTTAAAAATATTTATAAAAACCCTATTTTTTAAAAATGCTTTTACTATTAACATCAATAATTAATAAAAAATATAAATATTTTTAATCTTATAATAATAGTTTATTTAACTTTTTTTATTTAAATAGTAATAAGATCATTCTTTATTATTTAAAGTAAAAGTTTTATAGAGAGTTAAATTAAAAAAAGTCAATGATTTATTATTAAAAAAAACAGATGTA